TCTTCGTAGAGGGTTCGCCCCTGGTTTGCCGGTGTTTACCCATGTATTTTTGCGTGGGCCACCTTTAACAAACTGGGAGAGTTCCCCCTGACAAATAAGGCGCTCGATGGCCTTCTTCAGCGTGATGCAGTCGTCGGTGTTGTGCGAGGAGTTCTTGTGAAACCGGCAGTATGTGCCGCCCTGCTGGATGGCAAGGACCTCCTCGGCCGGCCGAGGAGCCTGCTCGATGAGGCCATGCTTCTCGGCATAGTCGAGGATGGTGCCGACCGGGTGAGTGAGGGCAACCCCCGGCCGTTCCAACCTCGGCCGCCAGTGGCGGTCTTTCTTACTTTGTCCACCAGAGCCGTGACGGCCCTGGGCACCCTGGCCGGCCGGGGATGGACCCGGGGCCGGCGAAGGATTTGTCTTCTTGGAGGGATGGCCTCCCTCTTTCTTGTGGTTGTGGAGCTCGTCGGCGTCGGCGTACAAGCTTCTGCACTGGAGCGCCTTTGCGTACGACCTTGGAGGATCGGTGATGAGGCTCCTGGCGTACGGGGAGCTGCGGAGGGCTCTCTGGTACAGGACGAGGAGGGTGCGCTCATCGGCCCCCTCGACTTCCTCGGTCTCCCTCGTCCACCGATCAATGAACGACCGGAGGGACTCATCATGTTGCTGCTTGACGGAGAGGAGATGGGTGAAATACTTCTTCGCACGTTTCCTCCCGGCAAAGTGGGTGAGGAAGCGTTGGGCAAGGTCCTGCCATGAGTCAATACTCCCTTCAGGGAGCGCGTTGAACCACTCGTACGCTGGCCCCTCAAGAGTAGAGAGGAACCAACGGCAGAGGTATTCATCTAACGCGTTCACCATCAGCATGTTGTTCTGATAACGGTTGAAGTGTTCCTGGGGGTCTGATCGGCCATCGTAGGACTTGATGGCGTTTCCCCTGTACTTCTCCGGGATGGGGGCCGAGAGCACCCTGTTGGTGAAAGGGGTCCTGGTCCTGACCTGGATGACGGGGTCACCTCGTCCTTTGGCCAACTCCCTCTCCAGGGCGCTGACCTTGTTCATGAGAGCGTTGAGGCCAGGATCGTTGGAGGCGCCGGCCGTGGGGATGTTCGCCGACTGCCTGGCCTCCATCTGGGCCAGCCTCCTTTCCAGCTGGGTGATGACCTCGTCCCGGGGGTCCCTGGCGGCCGCAGCGGCGCCCTGCTGGTTTCTCGTGCGCTCGTCGTGGGCTGCATTGATCTGGTGGCGCACGTCGTCCTCGTGCAATTTCCCCTTGCCCTTGTCCAGGCGGGGCTGGTCCGCTGTCCGAGACACAGACCCCAAGCTTTCCCTTGGTGAGCCAGGCCGACGCTCACCAATCCGCCCTGCCATCCTCTCCGAAACCGGACGACGGCGTGTGTCACCTAGCCTATTGAAGGCAGAGGCTTTTCCACGCGCTGGGGTCTGCCCAGGCCGAAGAGGGAAAGCGGGGTGGGAGTGGGACGACGTCGTGTCCTAGGCCATCGCCCCCTCATCGTTGCCTATCTGGACGACCAACGGTTGGGGCTGAGGAGGTGGAGTGACGTTCCCCCCGGTCCTTGGCAAGAGAGCGCTGAGGACGGTGGGGTTCTGGGCCAAGCTGGCGATGATGACCGACAGCGCGGCCTAGACCTGTGGATCCACAGACGGAGAGGCCGCGGCCATAGGCTGGCCCGGGGCGTGGTCTGTCTTCTCAGCTCATTTCTTGTCCAAGCCGATGCGGGCATCAGGGGCTCCGCCGTTGAGTTGGTTGCGGAGGTCCGTCATGAGGTTGATGGCCTCCTGGAAGACGTCCCCTCCGCCGACCTGGTCGGCCGTAGCATCCTCCTCGTGCTCCCTGGTCTCCTGGTCCTCAGGGATGGCCTTGCTGACGAGGTTGCGGTTTGACTTAGTTCTTCCCATGATCAGTGGTTAGCTGTGCTTGGTAGCGACGAAGGGTGCTAACTTGATTGTTCTAGCTCTCAACGAGAGCACCAAATGATAGAGTATATGTCTAGAGAGAAGTGAGAGCTAGAGAGAGAAGTGCAATATATGCTTCAATAGAATGATTTTGTAACCCCCATAACTACCTCCATAGGAAGTATTTATAGGAAAAATACGGGCTGGGCTCCCAAGCCTTGGGCTTGGGAGGCCCATTTACAACTGGACCGCTACTGGGCCGAATACAAAGCCACTGGTGGGCTATACAAATGAGTAAGTGTAAAATCCGGTTCTGTGAGTCTCCCGTGGCCGACGAGGGTCTTGGCCGACGAGGGCACGGCCGACGAGGACACCCTGGTTCCTTGGCCTCAAGATCATATTCTGGGTTGGCCCCTCATCGGCCGACGAGGGTCTTCTGGCCGACGAGGGCACCACGTAGTGGCTGTCCTTTCTGTTCTGAGTATGTGGGTCCTGGGGCCTAGACCCATATACTCCATCACACAGATACCAAGCCTTTGGAGTTAAGCAGTTCAAATAGATGCAATAAATAATGCAGTAAGTAAATGACACCAGGGCTTTTTATACTAGTTCAAGGAACAACTTGTTCCTCTAGTCCACTGTTCCACTAAGCTTGTAAAAACGACCATTTACAATGCCTTAGCCCTATCACTTAAGAAGCTCTCCACGTCTTCTTCAAGTGTAGATGTCTTCTTGGATGCACTTCTGGCTTCCCTAATACTGGTCCTTTCACTGAGCTTTCCCGGAAGTATCACCACTTCACTGCTCCAGGTACTTGGACTTCCTTCTTGTGAAAGAAGAGGTTCTGTTGAGAACAGGGGTTCCTCCAACTTGCTTCGTTACAAAAGATTTGTATGTGAAGAGCTTGAAGAGTTGAAGAATGATGAGAACTTTGCTTGAGTTGGAAGTAAGGATCTTTCCAACATCTTCCTTCTCTTGTAGAAGATAATGAAGATTTAATCTCAAGGAGGCTTTAGCGTTTTTTTGCGTTTTGAATATTTTGTATGCGCACAGTTGTAGCGAAATTATTCGGTTGTTCTTCGTAGTGTATCTTTTATACTGAGGTTGTCTTCCCGTTGGAGGAGAAGGAGGACAACTGCATTAAATGAGCGGGCAGTTGACTTGACCAGTAGGACCCGGTAAAGTAGGCGGGTTACTATTTTGGGATAAAGCTATCCTGACATTGCGGCCAATCATCTGCAATTACTCTACAGAGTACGGGAGGCATTAAATGTGCATTTAATGCGCGTACTGTACCTTTTCCGTTCAAGACTCCTAGCCGTTGAAGGAATCTTTCAGTTGGTTTCCCGGCTTGGTGAAATTATTCTAAGTGTCAGGCCTTCTGGTGTCTTTAGCAGAGAGTTGATCAGAGAAGGTCTTGAGCACTTCTGTTGAAGAAATATCCAACAGAGAACCAGGAGGGTTTCTGTTAGAGTAAAGGCTAACAGAGACCCTGAGGTCTTCTGTTCTGAAGCAGAGAACCAAAGGTCCTCTGTCAGGAGGTCTTCTGCTCTGGAGGCCTTCTGCTCTGGAGGCCTTCTGCCAGTCGATTATACTAAGAATTTTTACAAAGGAAAATTCTAATACATTAAATCTAAAGAGGGGTACTCTAAAGTCCTAATTAATATAACATCATCAAAATCTAATTACAAACATTCCTTACAAAATTCATCTTCTAGATCAGCCTTCTCTGCAACTACATCTTATTAAGAAGAAAAACTGATCACCAAGGATGCAATTAGAGCTCAGAAGCATAGAAGTTTGAAAGAAAACTTGCAGCTCCAATTTTGGAGCTGAAATTTGGCCAAAAATGTCAATCTTCTTCATAATCCAATACCAATTCCCAGGAAAGTTAGCCATCAACATCCGCATCAGGCTTCACCTTATTGGTCCGTGTAGCTTCCAAAACCACTTCTACTTTCGTATTGAAGTGTGATCTTTGGGGCAATTTTTGAATGCTTCGTCCTCCAGGCAGCACAGGACAACGCCGACAGGCATGTGCGCCGACAAATAAGGGCGACTCAGGGTAGCGCCTCCAAGCGACAAAGACGCAAGACCGGCGGCGTTCAAGGGATTCCTATCAAGCTTCGAATCAAATAGTTGACGCACTGCAAACCTAAAAGGTACGAATGTTCCCTCTTCAATCACGGGAAGTTTGCACCAGACCGCGACAACCACCATCCATCAACAGGTTTACATTAGTTCGACAATTTGATTTCAGGCGGGTTGATGGCAAATTAACGGAATTTCGCAGGCATACTCCGACAAGCACAGGGCGGGATCTGCGATGAGTTTTGCAGCGGCGTGTTTCAGTAGGCATTTGTTATCTAATTAAATATTAGGGGTATTATGGTCAAAGTAGGTATGTTTTAGTCTTACGCTAATTGTTAGTCTTAGTTTTGGAAATTTAGTATGATTAGGTTCTATTTGTAAAATTTTCCCTTCATTGTATAGCACAATTTAACTTTATTTCACATATTTCAATGATATTCTTTCCAAGCAATTTGACTTCATCTAAAAAAAGGATGACACCTCATCCCTGAGGGCCTCCCAACCCCGATCGGACGGTACCTTGGGAGGATGTAAATTGGACTATAATCCCAATCTGACAGATAGAGAGTGAGACTCTGTCCCCGGTACTTGCAGAGGCCCTATGCATTTTTAGCAAAGTAACCCCTCATCGCAGTTGTTGGGATTCGAACCCGGGACCTAACCCTTGTGGCACTCCCTTGCTACCAGTTGAGCTACGCCCACCGTTAGCAATTTGACTTCCTCTTCTTCTACCGGTGAACGTAGCTCAACTGGTAGCAAGGGAGTGCCACAAGGGTTAGGTCCCGGGTTCAAATCCCGACAACTGCAATGAGGGGTTACTGTGCTAAAAATGCATAAGGCTTCTACAAATACCGGGGACAGAGCTCCACTCTGTATCTGTTATATTAGGATTATAGTCCAATTTACATTCTCCCAAAGTACTGTTCAGTCGGGTTTGAGGGGTCCTCATGGATGGGTGTCATTTTTTTTTGACTTCCTCTTTTTCTTTTTCTGATGTCCTGTATTCCGTACATTCTGTGGAGTAATTTTCTACCTACTCAACCAGAAATCCTTAGCTGTGTCCCGCCCCCATCAACAATCAATGCCGGCAGGTAACGATCTTCTTCGTTGCTAACTTGCTACAATCAATTTACTTCTTCGTGATTTTTCTTCATTTACCTTTGAATATATTCCTTCCATTTAATTATTCTGATGTAATTTATATTTTACGAAGTATTATTATTTTATAGCACCCATTCCTCACTGTGATCTCTGATTACTATCTTTAAATTCCTTCACCGCATCGTCCTCTCTCTACGCAGTTAGGGCGTTCTAGAAATCGCCGCCGGCAGCAGCAGCCATGGCCGACTCCAGTCAGCTCAAATCCGACGCTCTTATGGAGCAGATGAAGCTTCACCTCGCCTCTGACGCCGGAAAAGAACTGATCGAGAAAATTGGCCTCGTTTACCAGCTCAATATCGCCCCTAAGGTGCTTTTCTTCTAATCGCTGTGTAATTTTTTCTTTTGTTTGTGTTATTTATTGTTGTTTACCAAAAAAAGCTTGATTTTGATGATGTCTGTTGGTTTCACTTTGACAGAAACTTGGATTCAACGAAAAGATTTATGTTGTTGATCTGAAGAAAGGGGAGGTCAAAGAAGGTCAGGGCTTATGATTTCCTGCTGGATTTAATAGATACCTGAACACTATGAGTGAAAAATGGTTGTCTTTGGATGAATTCAGGGAAGTATGAGGATGGAAGGCCTGATGCAACCTTTTCCTTTACTGATGACGATTTTCTGAAAATCGCAACAGGGAAGATGAATCCTCAAATTGCTTTTATGAGGTGCGCCTAGTTTTGGTAGTTTGCATTTTGAAGTAATGTGTTTTTCACTTTGTGGAGGAAGAAAAATAGTTTAAATTCATACAGAAATGTGGCAAGAAAATTAATATGTAGTAAAAAACAAGTGCTCTCAAGAGTATAAAAACACTTTGAACCCGTAGTTTAGAAAACATCATATTGGTACTTTTTGAAGAAAGAACTTACTTATAAAAGCACTTGTGGAATAAGTCATCCTGGTAAAACCTGAGTTTTTTATGAGTTTTTTTTTGTCAGGGGTGCTATCAGAATCAAGGGGAGTATCAGTGCAGCTCAAAAATTCACTCCAGATATTTTTCCAAAACCATCCAAGCTGTGAACAAGGAAATGATCAATGGACTGTACCTTTATGATGGATGCCATTTCACAGCCATTCTGCTAATGTTATTCCCTAGCATCTAGAGTAAACCGTTTATTGCTAAGTTCTTCGAAAGAAAAACAAAAGGATTTGAATTTCTCATTCATATCATATAAGAATGTATGTTCTTAGCTAATGTGACATGGTACTTTGGGGCATTGCATGATTATGTTGTTGGAAAAATGATTTTACAAATTAATATTATGGTCATTAATATTATTTGTAAAAATCATTTTGAAATGAATGAGAAATTATTTCCCGAAAGATAAGTGTGAAATTATATCTCACACGCAAACACCGTCACCGTCGTTCAGTAGGTCGGGTCGGGTTTCGGGTTAGAGTCTTAAACCGTCCGCCCGAGTATATGGCTTAAAGATAATTCTATTAGTTGCTCTTAATTTTGGATAATGTTTGGCAATAGACACATCCATTTGTTTTAGAAGGAGGGTCACGAGTAATTATACATGTTTCCTTAATTATTTAATTATTATTTCATTTAATTTGCATGCAGAATATTGTACACACAACAATCTTAAGACGGTTTGTTTTTTGTATGCAATCTGCTTGCTTGTTTTCTGCCGTGTGTGTTCATACACCTACTTAATTTTCTGTGCGTGTATAATTGCTACTACCGTAACTATAACTATACTGCCTTGGATTTGCATCTGTTTGTAATTTAATCCATGTTTTAGTCTCATTATCTTTGTCATTTCTTGAGCATACAAGGTCTTCCTTCCAAAGGAAGTACTCACAACCCAACCCATCCTAAAAGAGGAAAACACATAATCACAATTCCAAAAATCAAACATTTTAATTCATGAAATTCAACAAATTAGTAGAACTATCTTACCTTCCATTTTTTGCATCCGTAAAATTGCCGTCCGCTCTCTCATGCGGTACACAACCGAGCTCTCAAACCACAAGTGCAATTAACCGAGGGTTCATGCGGCCAACTTTTCTTGCCTGTCGATGACATCGCTGATTCAGACATTAGGAGTTAAACAACTTTTCTTACCTTTGTCTTCCCAGGTCGGAGCACGCAGGTTTAAGAACGACTGGAAGGGTGGGTTAATAAATTAGGTTTTGGGTGTGATATAGAAGGATAAGGGTGAGTCAGCAAAATATTTAAATTAAATAAACTCTTTTTTTATGTTGACTCAGCATTAAACGGATTACTAGGAGAGGCAACCGGGAGTTTACCGGCTAAATGAAAAAATTGAACGATTTTGAAGAGTTGGAGGATTGGATTGGACCTTTTTTTAGTTCGGGTACCCAATTGAGCTATTGATATGAGTACAGGGACCTATTTGACCCTTTAACCCGTATTTGAATAAATATTTGATTGATCGGCCCTGATTACACCACTCAACATTAAGATGAGCCCCATACTTCAAGAGTAAATACCTGTTATGGGGAACAACATATCTATTGTCAAGTTGTGTTACACCTTTCACAACACTCCTTCCATCATTGCGCCTTCTATACCTTGGATAACCTTCATCGTCAACGGTTGTCTGTTCATTGAAATTCTTGGGGAAGTGCTTTGAACACTTAGATTGTACCATGCATGGAGCACTTTTTGCTTCATTTCCACACGGCCCATGCATCATATGCGTTCGTACTGCATTTAAATATTCAGGATCATTTGACTTATCAGGTATTTCTGCAGAAATGATGCCATCAATGTCCGCCGCAGTGGGAAACTTGTCTGCACTACCCATGAATAACAAAATATGAGCGTGGGGAAGGCCACACTTTTGAAATTCCACCGTGTATATCACTGCACATAAAAATATACACGCATCACTATAAATTTACTATACTATATATTACATTGAATTAAATAGGATAATGTTGTGACCTATGATATACCTGCTCGGACTTCGCCAAATATCTTATTTTGACGTAGATCTTTAATCAATCCATCCAACTTCATCTTGAAAACTCGACATACTATATCTGGTCTGTCTTCAGGACTCAAGTTTCTATCTTTGAGAAATCTTACAATTTCTGGCCACTTTTGATTGCATGTGAACGTCAAGAAAATATCCGGATACTCAGCCCAATGACATATTGCCATTGAATCTTGGTAATTTTGAACCATGTAACGTGCTCCTCCAACCCCAACCCCAACCCCAACCCCTCTCCCACTTACCCCAGTCCCCAGACCCACTTCCACCGTCGGCTCCTGCTACCCCGGCCACCGCCGCCCCTGCCCAACCCTCTCCCCCAACTCCCCTGCCCCATCACTAACACAGTCACTGCCCAACCCCCTCACCGCATCCCTACCCAGCAGATCCAGTCCCTGAACCACCGCATACCCACCCCACACCCTGTCGCAGCCCTCACACACCTCTGTGCCACTCCTACAACGGCGGCAGGAGAGCGACGAGACGGAACTTGACGTCTCCAATCGCGTCCAACTACTAGATGCGAACACTAGCCTCGATGTTGCGGGAAATTGACGATATCCATTCATAATCGCCCTCGTCACTTGACTTCGTAATAGATGATGAATCCTCGCTCGCCATCAAATCTTCACCATCGCCAGGCCGCCGCCATCGCAGGTGTCGAGATTCGAAGAAGAAGAGAAGAAAACAAAAGTGACATACCTGTGATGTCTGTACGGCGTGGAGAGAAGACGTGAAGATGGCAGCGGTTTGGAGAAGGCGATGGCGTGCGGATGGTTGTGGCTGATCGAAGAAGAAAGCGCTGCCATGGAAAGATCAGTCGAAAATGAATTGGGGGATTAGGGCTGCAAGGGTGTTAAGGCCAGTTCACATATTTTGAGTGACATTTTTGTCTAAATGGCATTCTAGTCATATTTTTGTCTTTGATAATTCTAGAACTAATATTAATGCCATTATTTCTTACTCCCTACGTCCCGGTCATTTCTTCCAACTTTCCTTTTTGGACCGTCCCAATTAATTCTTCCAACTTCCACTTTTGAAAAAAAATATGTGATTCACATTCATTCACTTTTTTCTTATACAACTACAACCATACATTTTAACTTTATTCCCACTACCTAAATTTGAGATACCTACATTTATGACACGTCTGAACGAATCATTTGATTTTATAGCTGTGTCCGTCTCGTTTGGATTAAGATCGGTATGGAATAGGTTCAGTATGAAAAAGTTGCTAACCTTATTGACATTTTTCCGTTTGGGACATGGGAAGCAAGATTTTTGCCCACCCTAATCCAAATATGTTTATTTTTCAACTGTCTCTCGCCACAGCTGCATCCCATCCATCTACATCACGGTGATACTTCTTCACATCGGATTTTGTTAAAATCACGAGCATAGAACTCTCTTACGGATCTCGATTCGTCAATTTTGTAATTTGGAAATCCCAGTCATCTGGTTTTGAATTTCTGAAAATTTCAAGTTTCAATTCAGTGGGCGTCATGACCATTAATGTATGGCATGAGGAATTTGACCGAGGAAAATTAGTGATCTGAGAAGGTTATTCACGCACGTTCAATGATTTATTCTTGAAGTAATCTTCTCGGGGGATGGTAAAGGTCTCGACTTTGCAAAAAGCTTGCTTCTTGCGATCATGCAAAGGCAGGGTATTCTTAGTTGGAAGTCCCCTTTCGGCTTTACCAGAAGCAACCTTAACATTGATGATAAACTAGGGTTTGTGGCTGGATTTATCTTACCTCCCATTATTAGACACGCAAATATGATTGAATCTTGTCAGGTGAAGTCAATAAGTGTGTTAGTCAGTGGAGCTTCAAATGCCACGACAAGAAGTTGTGGAGCTAGGTTGAAATGGAGTGTAAACAATGGTGATGTTGATGAACTGTTTGAAGAGGATGATGATGATGATGAGTGTTGTCCGGTTGATTGCGTGAGAGAATTTAAAAAGGAAGAGAAGTTTTTGAGGATAATGGAGAAGGCCAAGAAAAGCGGGTCTCTGGTAGTGGTAGACTTCTACCGCACCTCTTGTGGCAGCTGTAAGTACATAGAGAAGGGTTTCTCAAAGCTATGCAAGGGATCAGGTGATCAAGAGTCACCTGTTATTTTCTTGAAACACAATGTGAGTTATATGACTTTTATTTAATTAATTATTTCAATCTCTTCTAGGAATTTTCGACCTAGTATTACACATTATTGTTCCCCCTGTCACCTACATTTTATTCTTTGAATGGCTGCTCCCTGCCTTCGCCTTCATGCGTCGCATTTAGAAATTAAGCCCCACCTTGTAGGCTGTAGCATGCTTGTTACTAAAGCCTCTATTTAGATGGAGGGTTTCGGGTAGGAAGGCTTATATGGGCTTAGTTATCTTGATGAATAGAATGTTCCTAGAAACATTAAAAACAGTGATCGAAGTGCTATGCTATCACACTCATTTTTTTGCTTCAAAGTTTATCTAAACCCTCCTTCCAGAGAGACTCTTAAGGAAAGATTAAGGCTTGAAGAAATGCTCGTGTTCTATTATATATCCAGCATTTAATGATTTAACTGGGTTCTAAAATACTCCTGTCATATAAAATTGTCATGTTTGAAAAGCTTTTTGGTTCCAAAAGTGTCATATTTGATTAATAAAGATAAGTTTGCAAAAACTTCTCCAAAAGAGAGTAAAAAACGGTGTTAATATAATTAGTTTAGTTAAACTATCCAAAAGAAAATTAAGTGTGAGTAGAATTTGTGAGTTGTGACTTAAAACAGGTGTACCTTGCTAAGGTAAAAAGCTGTATATTTGGTCAAATATGACTTGTTTTTTGCGTTGGTGGGAGTTATCAGAAGCTTCAAGGTGCTAGGTTTGAAGGGGCCTAGTGTCTAGATGGGGTTTTGGCAAGTTCTTGTAAAATTTATAAAAGGGATCAGGCGACATTAATTTGGGAAGAAATTGTAGGCGGCTAAGAGATGACTTAGCTCCTAAGAGGGACTTGATGAGTTTTTTTAGACTTTCGATATTTAGACCTGTTCTGTGGCTGAAATGTGTTCGGAAAATCCATTTCAGCCATGTAAGTAATCCAAAATATGTTCCTAGGAGGGACCGTGGGACTGCGTGTAGGGATTTTTTTTAATTTGGATATTTAGTGTCCATTTGGTAAGTGTAGTTTGGCTGAAATGCGTTTGGAAATTCATTTCAGCCACATAAGTAGGCCAATATCTACATATTTGGATTACCCTGATGTCCTGATGATAAGCAGAATGTACCCATTTTGGCTACCAAAAGGAGCCTTAATGCATCAAGAGCCTTAACAAAAGTTTACCAAATACTCAGGTGCTTGATGAGTATGATGAACAATCTGAGGTTGCTGAGCGGCTGCAAATCCGGGTAAAACTATCTGATTCAATACTTGAGTGTTAGACTGTTAGCGGATGGATTTAGCTCATGTCATTCTCAATTTATTGGAAATGGTGTCCCTTCTATAGCCATATTTATTATTTTCCATCTATCTTAAGTTTTTAAACTGAGGCTTTTGAATATGATGCAGACAGTACCCCTTTTTCACTTCTATAAAAACGGAGTCCTGCTCGAAGCTTTTCCAACACGAGATAAAGATAGGATACTTTCAGCCATTCTTAAACACTCATCTCCTGATACTGAAAACACTTGGCCAAGTTGATCCGGTTTGCACTAACGTTACTGGAATTAATAAAATACTTCGTAATAATTTGTATTACATGTAACTTTGTAATGTGTCATTCCTGGTGGTGATAAGTACTCATGTTGATCTATTGTTGGTGCTTAGCACCCATATTGAATTATATTCTACTTATTATTTTCCTTGCTGGAATCATTATTGAGAGTAAATATACGCAGTGCAAACTAGTATCCAAACATGGGGTATCTGTTTCAGGATGTTTAAAATATTACAAATTCAATAGTGCTACAAAAATTTCTTCTGTAATACAGTATTTGTTAGTGAAATAGTTATTAGAGTCAACTTGCTATGGTATCTATGAGTGCTTGAAAAAGCAAGAAACGTTAAACTGAGACCTAAAGCTTAGGTAGGGATGGAGCGGTTCCGGTTCTAAACCGTCAGGTTTTGGGTTTAAAAATACAACCACCCGTAATTGTACTGATTACCTAATTCTTGTTGTTGGGTGGCTTCTGAATATGTTATGGATCTTTACCCTTTAAAAAACCAAAAATTCTGTTTGTACACGTTTGACAAGTTTACATGTTTTCACACTTGTCTGTGAAGGCCATTTTGTTGTCCGTGAAAACACTGTTCACAGACAAAAAATGGCCTTCACAAACAAGTGTAAAGACGTGTAAACTTCAAAACGTGTACAAAGAGAATTACTCTTAAAAAACAGAGCAAAAATGGCCCAGTTATGTTTTCGAGAAACTAAATTGGTTTATACCTTTTCGTGACCCGAATGGGAAAACCGGTCTCACTTCTGAACAAATGGTTGATTGGACTTGGTCTGGTTCCAGAAATACGAAATACAAAAATGTTGGAGGCGGTCAACAGAGGGCTAGCGTTTAGGAAGAGATTCCTAGAACCAAGGGGGAATTTAGCAATGAAATGAGGGAGGGGTAGCTGCCTGCAATAAAGCCTTACTAATCCCAATAGCCCAGCCAATGCTTGTGCCCCAATGAAAGTACAATTTCCTCCCAACAAACCAATAAATTTCCTAATTATCATTTCAATTTTTTATCTCAATTTTTTATTTCTTGTATCAAGCATCAAACACAAGGAAAGTGTGCCAGTGGAAGGAAGCAATTGAGAGGCGGTTGCAACTTGCAAGTCGCCACCATTGGCGCCATGGCAGTCATCATCTATTTTTCTCTGCACTTTGAGGTCTAATAGTCTAAATCAGGTTTTCTAATTCTAAATTTGAATCTTATATATATATATATATATATATATATATATATATATATATAGGGGATGGTTCAAATACAAAGACCTCTTCTCATGCAAAGTGAGAATGAATCTTGTGCATTCATTTCCACATCTAATGGCTCAAAATGAGTCAAAAATGCACAAAATTCGACCAAAATCGCGGTGGCAATTTCGTAAATATGTTGCACTTTTTCGTTACCGCGAAAAAGTGCAATAGAAACACGCAAAAGTGCAAGCAAAATATGCAAAAGTGCATTTCTTCGCACTTTGCACGGGAAGAGGTCTTTTTATTTGAACTCTTCCATATATATATATATATATATATGAACATATATATTTTTATACATGAATCTTTTTTGAGCCCTATTTATATGCGTTCGAGCCATGTACTTCAGATTTAAGAATTATACTCCGTATATCCTATTTGTTGTTGAGAATGAATAGTTTGTAATGACATATGCATTTTGATGTTTTTGTTGAATTGTTTAAGTACTTAGCTAACTCCGCCATGATATCATTTTTTTGGTATCATGCCTGTCCCAAGCTAGGATAAAGGAGGAGGGTGCTGTGGTAGGCGTGTGACGGTCAACAGTATCATCTAGTCACGTCACATGACATCAATCGAAATATGAATATCGCTAATGCTTCCTTTTGGCCGACCCCAATATCTTTTGGGACTAAGGCTCAATATCTTTTGGGACTAAGGCTTGGATGTAGTAGTAGTAGTTTAAGTACTTAGCTCATATCATGTTGGGAAATGGGAAAAGTTGTACAATTTTATTTCAACAATTTTGCAATGAAGCTGTAATAACTAATAAGTCATTTCCAAAAGATGAAGTTTGGAGAAATTGTGATGTATTTTATTTATTGGGTAGGAGTTTTTGCCATTAGAGTACTTGTGAATGTACTCTATAATAATAATAAAAGTAAAGCTGGAATTACTTTCAGGATGAAATTGTTGAAGATGACTACTCTATTTTCATATAACTTTATCTTGATTTTATTAATAAAAATATTTTCAATATAATATTTTCCATGACTCAATATATTCGGGCAATTTATTCTCTTCGATCAAAATTTCACCAATTTCAATGCATTCGACCGACTCAACCTATTTTAGTGGCACTTCTACCAAACAGCTCTTAATCTGTTCCCAAAATATATTTCCTGAAATCTGTCACTGCTGGAATAGTGATCTTCATTATTGAGAATAGTGATAAAACATTTTGTGAAGTGTATTATGTAGAAGGGCCCTATTCGACTGGGAAAGTAGAAGGGCCCTATTCACCTGAAATGATGTTTTTCTAATCCCAGACTTGCCTGATTAAGAAAGGGATCCTAGAATTTCCTGTCTGTCTTACTTGACTTATTGCTCTCTCTTTATATGCCATCATTTAATCATTTAATTATTAGCTGCAGGCTAAGCTTGTACCAGTAGAACCTAAAGATTGAATTATCAATGTCTTTGAGTGTGTGTGCTCTCCAGCTGAGAGCACATTAGCCTTCTCACTTTGTCTTATCAGTTATCACACACTCTCAAACACTGCTTTCTTAGTCCTCTGATTATGAAACACACTGAGGATGTCATAGACAGCTGGCATTTGCAAAGATCAATGCAAAATTCCAATTTTAGTCATTCAATCGTAGGTTTTTCGTCGATAATTTGATTTTGCACCCCATTTTTTGGGTGATATTTAATTTTACACTCTATCTTCAAAATCATTAATCACCCCAATTTGCAATAAATCATTTGTTTTTGCACACTACTCTTTCACAATTTTTGGATTGATGGGATAGCACACATTAATGATTTTGAAAAAAGAGAATTTGACTTTACACCTCACTTTTTGGGTGATATTGGACTTTGCACCTTATTTTGAAGAAACTTTGATTTTGCACCCCAACACATTACATTTTGTGAAGAAAGTTTTATGAATGGTGTGCAAAGTCAAAGGATTTTTAAGTGGAATATGGTGCAAAGTAAAATTTTCCTTTTTGAAAATAGGGTACAATGTCCAATATTATCCAAAACAGGGGGTGCAAATTTATATGTAAAAGAAGAGGATGGGAGAGTGGAGAAACAAAATAGATATATAAACTAGGATTAATCAGTGTCCAACTTTATAAAGACACCCAAAAAATAATTCTTCAATATTAGAGATCCTTATATAGCGCTATAGTGAGATCCCTAATCACCACAGGAAACATAAAACTAAAGGAAACAGACTAAAATTGAATAAAGATATAACACTATCAATATTAATAGAAAACTTATACTAGCAACAACAACATAGTAGTTGTAATAACAATAAAGCATGCCCATATCATATTCCTTGGGGTTTAAGTTATCTCAAAATCAATTTGAGGAATACAATCAAGATGAAAAGCTTTGCATTGACATTGCAAGCGCATCAATGAGACTTTTGATGCAATTGAGATGAAATTCAAAGGTCAATTAGAAAGTGTTGAAGATATGTTAGACTAGAGTTACATATATATCATCTAAAAGAGAGAAGAAATGTTGGGAAGTAAAGATATTTATTTATCATTGAACAGAGCATCACCCAATTATAGAGGATCAAAAGTGTAAATTTTATAAGTTGTCGTTTAAAAAGTATCAGATTTTGGACGTGGTGGCAAATAAAAGAAAAACTAAAACTGAAGGACTAAATGTGAAAATTTACTTAATGATCACAACTATGAAGCAGTTCCATTCCAAGGAACAGGAAAATGCAAGTCCAGCTCATATTTAGGTCAGAAAAAGGCAAGACAAAGGAGTGCACATTTTATTTTCTTTCAATCAATTTGTACATTTTCCACTTCTTCAAGTGCAGATGATGAAAGTTGCTAGCTGTAAAGGCAGGCAATGTTGGGACAGGAGAATTGATATTCATCACATATATAATAAACAAATAAATAAAAACACTTGAGCACACATCACTGCTAGAAAATGTACATTTTTATCCTTAATTGTGATGTGATCAGAAGAAAACAGATGATTCCATGATGATGATGATGGGCTTTAGATAACAGATTCATGCCAAAATCTTGTTGGGAGGCCATTGAGAGGAACTGGGAATGGGGCATACTGAATCCCCTCTTGAGAACCTACCACTTCCCACCTGTAGCCACGTAATCACCAAACACAGACAAATATAAAATGCCATTGTCATGTATCCAAGTCAGCAAACAAACAAAGCCTGTGACAGAAAAGAATTAGATGCAATGCAGGACCATTAACCAGTCCAATCATATTTTGTGCACTACCTGAACTTGGTTACTAGGTGATGTGTCATCACTAGCATCTCCAGCTTGGCAAGCTCGTTTCCCGGGCAGGCGTGTATCCCGCTGCCAAATGGCATAAACGTATTGGGTTTCCTGCAATTCTGTGTGCACATACCAAACAACAGTTTTAATCTCATCAACCTAGAACCAAAAGTGGAATTAATTATTTAATTTACAACTATTCTTTTGTCTATCTTAATGACTTAATCGAATGAATACTGTGGCACTTTTGAAATAAAATACGTAGTACTAAGCATTTGTTATATGGAGGCTGACAGAGAGAGGTTAAAAACAAAACAACAACGTAAATTATAAGGAAAAAAAATAGGAGCCTAAAACTAAAGATTAAATTTTGCAGAGGTAAAAACACAAGCATTATAATTGCAAGTACCGAAAACATATATAAACAGAAGATATATTATACCTCAAATCTTGAAGGGTCAAAGATTTGGGGATCAGTAAAGTACTCCATGTTATGATGAATGTTCCTGAACAAGGGCAAGACTTTCCACCCTTTTGGAATTAGGTACCCTAAAAGCACATTCTTTTTTACCTTAAGTCTCACAAAAAAAAGTTATGGGTCATTGATTGTATAACTAATTTCTAAATACAAGCTTACCTTTGTACTCTACATCATCAATTGCTTCTCTGAATGTGAAAGATATAATGCTTGACATCCTTAAGGTCTCCGAGATAACCTGCAAAATACACTCGTTGTTTTAGACACTCTTAAGCAATTGATGTTCCCATCAAATGTGAAATTCATTCCACTTTTAATCCCACCACTATTACGAGACTCCTGTTTTTGTCCTTGACGTTCATTTTTCCACTTTTGATTCCACGACTAGCAAAAAATGACACTTGAATGCTAAGACTAGTAATGATCTCATAATTGTAAGACCGGAAGTGCATTTGATATTTTGGCGCAAGTAGGCTAATCCAGTCCGGTCATATATGAAGCATACTCTTACCTTGTTAGTCAAGGGCATGTTTCTTGTGTCTGTCCATGTGAGTTGGCAATTCACTTCAGTTTTAGACATTTGGATTGCTTTATGTTCAGCCTGCATACAGCATCCGAACAGTCTAAGATGGACAAAACCATACTAAAATATTGAATTATTGGACAGGTCTAATTTAAGACCGTACAACTTACAAGGATGTTTTCACTTGGAAAAAACTCCACATCTAGTTTGGTCCGAGTTGGTGCAGTTTATTCTGGTTTGTTTTATACTGTTTTGTTTAAGCCTCATGTGGTATTTTGTGTCACTTAAGATTATCTGAGTTAAGTTTGATTTGGTCTAGTCTGTTTTGTTCAAGACACTAGCTCTTTACCTTAATGAACTCGAGAAGTTTGGGGTTATCATGTAAGTACTTGAGAATCCATGTCAAGACACTAGCTGTTGTGTCCTGTGCAGCGAAAAGAACTCCTATGACGTTGTCCGCGATTTGATCATCATTGAGAATGATTCCTCCCTTATCATTTGTATAATTCATGAAACAACTCAAAAGCCCCTTCTCCTCTACCTCCTTCTCCTTCCTCTCATTAATGATTTCACTTAATATTTTGCTCAGTCTCTTCCTTGCCTGCAAATTTGGTTCATGATATATCAAGCTTCAAACTTTCAATGGCTTATTGGCTGCAGCTTAGCTGGTTATTTTAATACTAGTAAATTATTAAAAAATTACCTTGAGTGCTTTTCCGTAAAGACTTGTTGGTAAATTTGTTGGGAAAGAGTTGTACCCTTCGTTAACTATGCTGTAGTTTTTCTTGAGTTCTTCTTTGTGGTGATCCTCAAGATGTCCAAATATAACAAGAACGCCTATCTCGAAAGAAAACTGCATATACAAATGATATATGAATTTAATTTTCTCATGATAACTAATATCTATTCTAGTGTTCATAATAAGAAATTAGTTGTACATATCAGGATTAAAAACATCATATAACCTGCTCCTAATGTGTAAATTTTGTACACACCATTCTTAAAGAAAAAACTTATTTATCAAATAAATAAATGTTTCGTATTTTTGTATAAATTAGAGATCTTTCCAACAAATATGCATGCATGTTTAATAATAAGACACATGATTTCTGAAGCGGTAAAATGATTGTTTCAAGAGGTATGCCGTATGCACATGCCGTATAAATAATTTGACATATTTTTGAAATCGCGAGGTTTAATGCACATAATTTGAATAGCACAAGGTCTTACACCATGGAATGTCTTTTTTCAAGTTTGTAATAAGATAAAACTTTATATGTTTTGGAGTTCTTTTTATCCTTTTGATAGTTATCAACTAACTACAACTATAGTCCGTTTGGATAAAGTGAAAATAAGTAATATGTAACAAAAGAGTACATAGCCTAATTACCTTCTTCATCTCCTTGAACGTGTTGACAACATGCCCGCCCGCCCACGAGTCCAATGTAGAGATTGTTGTTGCCTCAATATCAGCAACAAAGTTGCGAATGGACTCTGGTTTAAGGGCACTTTGAACCACCTTCCTGATACGAGTATGGTAGTTCCCCTGGTGGAAAAACAATGCCCAAGGCCCTATCAAATTCTCCTTGCTCTTTGGATATGTGGGCTTGAACAAGTTCGATGCGGTCACTAGCACGAACCGGGCAGCCTCCGGGCTGGCCAGCATGACACAAGGGTACCCCAGTATATGAGTCTTGAAGATCTTCCCATGCCTGGAAAAAAATAATATGAATAATTGGGAACATAAGAACATGTAATAGTATATTCAACTATATATGTTTCGGTTTTTTGTCTATATACAAAATTTTCATTTTGTTAAGAAAATTGTGCGTCACACCGACAATTTTTTAACTCTACGCTGGCGTATACAAGCCGACATGCACAAACAACAACTTCCTAGTATATTTAGTTGCTATTCAAGATGAAAAATCAGAATAATGAGACTGTACCCCTAAAAAAGAAATCTAGTATTTGTGATCAACGAAGTGACCACGATTTATACTATCTATAGTGGTGTAGATTTCTCATCTTAGAAGCGAGAACAGTGAAATGTTATATTACCTCCGTTCCACTCAACTTTGTCAAGTTGATGTTGGCTGAGAAATTAGAATAATAAAAACTGTGTGGTTGAGATTTATGTAGAGGAGAGAGAAATGAACAGAATCATGAATCCATTGCATTAAAAGGAAAGTGAAAGTTTTTTGGGACAAACAAAAAAGAAAAGTTGACAAAGTTCAGTAGGACGGACGGACGGAGTATTTGTGGGAGAACCTTTTTTCTCTATGAGAGAAGAAAAAGTTTGGGTCTTGAGAGTAAAGTTGCAGGGTTTGTCCAATGTAAGGCCACCCCATTGAACCTGGAGGAAGCTTAGCTTTCTTCTTTGAGTCTGCAGTTTTTCTTAGTAAGCATATAAACAGAGAGAGGGAGAGCATAATACTACACAAAAGGACAGTATAGTTGTCCATCATTCTTTTCCTATATGGAGACTGGAGAGTGCTGAGGGAAATGAAGATGATCTTCTCAGATAGTCTGAATTCAGTGACTAACAAATGCAGTGAGAGGATCTATATAAAGGACCAGAACAAGGTCTCATGCCACCGATTTTTCTTTTTCCTATACTTCAGTGGGCCCGACAAATCCCAAATATCAGTCTAGGATAGTGTGGGTAAGTTTGAAACACAAGTCTCTCAATAAATCAAAATTTGGTATTCACTTAATGAGTGTAAAATTTGGTATTCACTTATAGTTCATTGAGTATATTTATCCAACATTTTTTTAGAGAAATTACCCAAAATAGGACTAAAACCATTCCTATATTCCAAAGTAGGACTATCATTTTTTTATTCCCAAAATAGAACTAGTTACTGTCATGTTTTGGCAGTACCAGACTTTAAACATGACAGTATTTTCCAAACTTGGCAACAATTACTCCTATTTTATGAATAAAAACATGTCAGTCCTATTTTGGATTTTTCAAACTTTTTTACTCCTATTTCGGGAATTTTCCCTTTTCTTTAATTATAGTACATCAATTTTTTTGACAATATGTTTGTGAATAATTATTATTTCAAAAGTCAAACATTCTAGCGTAAAAATAAATAAATTCAGAGTTTATTTTTGTCATTTTTACTTCAGGCATATTTTTGAAAATATATAAATAATAGATGTAAAAATCTTTTAAGCCACGAGATATTAATTTTAGCACTTGAAAGTTAGATCTAATAAAGAAAAAATTTAGGTCTAAAAATCACAAACATTTAAACTTGATACCCCTCCGATTCTGAAATATGTTCTGACTTTCTTTTTTCGGCACTTCTAAATTAAAGTTCTAATACCCATGTTTGACAATCTTTTGTTAGAGTTACTCTTATATATATCTTTGTTACTGTATTTACTTATACACATTTTTTTATTCCTACTGCACCTAATCTACTTTTGTAAGGATGTAATGTGAATGTCAAAAGAATAAATTGAACTTTCTTAAAATCTGTAGAGTCAAAGTGAGAACTTCTTTCTAAATCAAAGGGAGTATTTTTTTTGAAAATCTAATAACTGATTTATTATTAAAACGTAGTAAAGATACAAGAGAATGAATAACCTAACACTACAATGAGATGAGATATAAAACAAAAAAGATACAATGAATCCTTCCATATTGCTAATCTCGCAATAATATAGTTTAGTCTAACAGCCTTGTTGCTCTTCTTGCTTCACCAGCCACCAGAAAGGAGAATTTGTTTGACCATAAACCAACAAAGGAAACTGAATTGAGCAGAAATTATCTGGATCATCGATTTGACCAACCACAAAAAAGGAGATCCAATTGAGCTCTATCTTCAAGTAAGGCGGTGATTCAAGAGGATGGCGAGTAATTGAAGCTTCAGAAGAATTATGTTGAACATGTCTTGCCAACCATGAATGATGAACAATTCAATTGGTTACTCCGACGAGGAAGACACAACCTCTAGATATTGATAGGAGAATAAAAAACACGTTCACCTGAAACGGACACAACTCTTGGGCAAGGAAGATGTCGGACCAAACCACAACCCTAAAAGATTGAAATAGAAAAATGAGAGATATCATAGCAAAACCTTTGATTCTGAGAGAAGAAGCCAGAAGATTAGATCGTCCCGAAGCTCGCCGACTAGGGTTTCCCTAAGGCCAGCTCATGTTCGGCTGATGAATAGATTTAGGGAGTATTCTTTTAAACTTTATGTATGCAATATTGATGTCATATAAAAGATCATTAAAAATTATGAACTTTTGATATTATTTATAAAAATTGGAGCACAAATTAGAAAGTTACTCCCTCCGTCCCGTTGGAATGTTCCCACTTTCCTTTTTCGGATGTCCCGTTGGAAAGTTCCCATTTCCCTAAATGGAAAGTTATCCTACATCAAAACAGGGTCAAACAGTGCAAAACTGCGTCAAACAGTGTCGAAACAGTGTCAAACAGTGTCGAAACAGTGTCAAAATAGTAAAATTTACCCCCTGGTAAGTTTATTTCCTTAATATGTGTGTAGGTCAAACCGGGAACATTCCAATGGGACTGATGGAGTATTAGATAAAAGTACTCGGTATAATTTTTCCATGGATATCACATCCTTTTCCTCGTGTGTCATACGTCTCCTTTTCCATGCTTTCCGTGCAGGTGAATAAGGGTGGCAAATACCCCACTTTGACATATCCTTCTTGTGGATTGCACAAATATCCGGGTGAAAAAACTTAAAAATGACTTTTACCCATGGATTGCAATTAGTCTTACCATTACCTAGTCTCAATTATGGTTTTTAATTAGGCGTTCGTTGAAATTTGAAACCTCAAAATCTTCTAGACATTCCTAGATAGTACTGGAATAGATGGGGCCGACATACAAAATATTTACATAATTTTTTACACTAATTTTGGTAATAGCCAAATCGGCTGTATTGGTTAATTATGCTGAAATTTTAGAAGTTGTGGATGAAGTGTCTGGATTGGCCGATTCTGTTGATTTATGAAAAAAATATCTAAAACATATTTTATTATTAAAATAATGAAAAAATTATATGTGAAATAGTTAGAATGATTAACTTCAGTCAATACGACCAGAAAAGTAAATATAACCTTACTTTTTCTTTTTATTACATAATTCAGCGCGCAAAATCAGACGTTACGTGTTTGGTGAAAGAATTGATTGATAAGCTTGATAAATTGAAAAAACAAGATCAGCAAAGAAACCTTAATAATTAAACAAGTTTTCAAATTTGGAGTGGAAGGGAGTCTAAAACCCTACCTCTGTCCTTGGCCATTCCCAAGCAACTCACCGCAATTGTTTGAATTGGACAATAAAATACTACAACACACTACGACAAAATTGGCCTTTTGTAACACTTTGTATGCAACATTTTTTTATTTTGTTACATATACTATATAGATCTAAAATTACGCAACACTTGTTTATAAATGTTACTTAAATCATTGGAGTATGAAATTATGCAACACTTATTGCATATTATTAGGTTTTATGTATCACTTATATTTTAAGTGTTGCATTTGATAAATAAATAAATTTACGTATTGTTCGTATGTAACACTTCTCAAAAATGTTGCTTCTAGTTAAGTCTTATGCAACATATATTTCCTAAAAATAAAAAATTAATTAATTTTGATTTACTTTTTAATCGTACACTTAAACTTTAATCCGGGCCGCGGTTAAACTTTATCTGTTTGCGCCGATAAACTTTTCAGCCTAGGAGTCAAAGGAGAAAGCACAACCCTTCACCAAATCCTATCAACATCCTCAACTCGGCTCCAAAGCTTGCCTCCTTCTGGCTTTATCAATCCATCAGGAGTACAAAGATCGTCTCCTTCTAGCTTTCTCAATCGACTGTGACCGCAAAAGCTTGACTGCTTCTAACTTTGTTAACCACCTTCGCTCCAGAACCGCCACCAGCGCAGCTCCACCATCGCCGGCCCATTCTGCTCTGCTGCGGTCCATATTCAACCGAGGTACGCCTTTTACCTTGATCTTGTACTACTTAGTTCTTACGATTTATCTTTTGCTTGGATGTTCGTAGGGATATCAGGTTGATGGATTAATGAGTAATTATTTGTTCTGGTTTGGTTTCTGATTAGGTTTTCAATTTTTCTGAAATTGAGATGTGCTTTATCTGAATGTTTGGAATGTCTTCTTCAACAAAATACCCTGACTTTGTATTTCGTTTTTCTCTAATCAAACTATTCAATTTTCTGTCTTGGTTGTATGTTATTGGAATTATATATAATCTGTTTCAGAGAGTGAGTGGAGTTTCTGAACTAGAAAGAGTGAGCCAGCAAATGGGATTTTAAAACAAAGAAAATAGAAAAATATAGACACGAGGGTGAGGAGGTAACAGGCGTAACTGTGTGGGCCCGGAAGCTCAACGTACTTATGACAGCTGGGCATCGACTCGTTACAACCAGAGCAAGACATTGCATGGAATTATATATAATCTAATAACAACTTGGTTTAATTTTTGTTCTGGTAAAACGAATTTAGGTGTTTTTGGATTATGTGTATCATAATCTTTAGCTTTGACTACTTCTGGTGTATTTTATTTATACAGTTTGAATATGAATAGGAAAGGTCTAAACTAAGTTGGATAAGGATCTAAATTACAAACCATTGCAAGCAATTAGTTCAGATTTGAATGAGAGGATTTTAAAACATGGTGTACATGGATGAATTGAACTTTACTGGTTCCATCTGTTTTGAACTAAGCAGATTGACTGTAGTGTATTTTGTTGAGATATTTAGAGCTCAAAATACGGTTTGATTGACTGTTGATAATTTTTTACCTAACCTGGTCATTCTCATGTGTAATAGGTTTGATTTAAAGTCTTAAAGCCATAGATGCCAGAATTTTTTGCCTTACTATTATTCATTAAAAGGTGTGAAATTTGGTGTTTAATAGTGAAAGCTACTAAACAACTACAGGAAAGCCAAACCTTTACTCCTTAGTACATGAAAGGTGGATTGTATTTTAATAACATCTGAAACATAGCAATTTAGAGAGCAGTTTTTGATTCGGTAAGAGAGTAAATATATGACATCTTACTTCATTTTACCTTTTTCCTTATTGATTTTTTCTACCTTTTTTGAATAGTGAACATCAAGATGAGGTCTCTAGAAGTAAAAAACGAACCAGGTGGGCAACGGATTCAACCATAGTAATGAATTTACATATTGGTTAAAGGATAAAATATCATATCAATGGTTCGAGAAAGAGAAAAGACAAGCCTAGAAATGATCCTAACTATGATCCTAATGAAGAAAACAATTCCTTAGAGGTCACAAAAAGAGTAAGCCCGGTGAAGAAGGTAAGTCTTACATATGAGATTAATTAATACTTTTGTAATTAACTATATCTATCTTTTAAAAAAAGATAATTTGACATATCAGGAAATTCAGGATATAATCTTTGTACTTTGAAAGTGGTGTACTATATCTAAGGTTTTGTGTTTTTTTTTGTAGAAAAAGCAAAACTGCATTGCACCACTATCACTTCACAGGGTTCT